CTAATTGATAAAATTTAACAAAAGTTTCCTCATTCATGCATGGCTGAACTGGGCAATTCTGTATTCAGGTTATCAGGACTTCAAAGGGAAACTGGAGTCTGTCACTTGTTCAAGGTTTTGCTTTGTTTTGGTTGTCACAGTAGCAGTATATGAATGATGGCTCATACTTGTACATTTGAATGGGAAGCACATAACTGGCATTTATGAATTCTTCAAATCTTGACGATAATAGATGGTAGATGTTAGGAATATGAGTCACCTAACAGCTATTTGGGTTAGAAATATATAAACCAGGATAGACATTTGAATACTGTCTCTTTAAGGGAATGCAAGAGCATGCAATTGGGTGTGGATTCTCAAATGGCCATAAGATGGAGCCAGAAACCTGGGTTGTTTAGTCTTAGTCTGTGTCTCAGAAGAGAGTGTATCTCTGTTTCCTTCTGTTGGACAGTACTGCCGTTCCTCCATTTTTCCCAATTGATTGATATTTTCTGGATTTAATGTAAGTCTGTTACTGAACTGTTTTTTTGACACTGGACTTTGTTATTAAATTATCCCTGGATTGAAAAAAACTGACGGATCTACCTGTGAATGATTTTGGATTGCTTGTTTGGACTTTGCCTAACGTTTCTGGAAGTAAAAACCTACATTTACAGTACAGTGTATTTGTGTGCTGTATGTGTATTATTCAAACGCTACTCTCAAATACGTCTCCCTGTATGCGCTCATTCTCTTAATGGGGAATTACCTCAACAGTAGACAACATAGAAAAGTATTTAATCTCTCAACGAAATTGTAAAATAACTAAGGTAATCAAAATAACTAAGATGGTAAAAATGACTAAAAAGGCATCTAAAATTGCCTTTTGAAATTCCTTTTCTTCTCCCCATTGGTACTATCCATATATCTGTTGCTTAGACTACTGCCATAGATCAAAACAACATTATGAATCAACATAACTCAGTCTCGGTATGTTGAGCACTTTCACACTGAACGTGACAGATAATTACAGAGATGCAATAAATTATAAAATATAGAAATAATTTTTAGACCTCAAACTCATAAAATCATAGCTTATATGACCAAATCCACAACTAGAAGATAGGAATGCCTCTTAATAGTAAGCATTATAAGTGGAGAACAGGAAATCTTAAGTTATATAGAGATTATTAATTTAGAATTATAATAATTTAACTTAGTAGCCCCTATACTGATATTTGTTCTACACATGTTAGAAACTAATGGTCATACTACTGACATAAGCACAACTTTGAAACAATAATTAAGACATTTCCCTATGGAAGCAAAAGTCATTACAAGTATGAAACAGTTTTTTCAACTGTTATTACTCAAGAAATTTCAACCATAATTGTGCATGCTCCAATCAATATATATCAGGCACATAGAACAAAGCTGACTATCATGCTTGCAATCTTCCCAACCCCCTCCACTCCATGTACAGAAACCTTATGTCTTGTGAGAATTCTTATTTGCTTAAATATGTACTGTAATTCTTAGCAGCTACTAATCTTATTAGCTTAAAGCTTTGATCTAGAACTAGTAATCAATTAACCCTAACCTTTCTTTGGGTCTTTTTGCACAATGTAAACATATACTATTAAACACGGCAAGAAAAAAGCCAAGTATTTTTGAGCGTCCATTATTAGACAATCAAATTAAACAGATCGCAGCCATGTACTGTAGTTTTGGACTTCTTTGCCCAAACAGTAGTACTGGCCTCTACAGAATATCAAATGCTCTAATAACAGCATCCATCTCTAAGAAGCTGAAAGAAACATAATTTTTATGACTCCCACCACGCTCATAGGAGAGGAATGAGAGCTGTGATAGTGGATCTTGATAGCGGATCAATCTTACAAATAAAACATAAAATGATCATATCTGAAACAATTAAGATCTATTGCATATTAACACAAAGTATTTCAAAATGGATTAGCTCAAATTCTGTTTTCTCTCAACTGGAAATTTATCTATATCACTATTAAACACACACACACACACACACACACAAACAGCAAATAGAAACGGCAAATAGAATAGAAATGTAAAGTGATAACCACATACTTTCCCTGGCCTCTCAAAAATGTCTGCCATGTGATTTATTAAAACTGAATATTTAATGTTTTTAGAAGTGTGTTTTCCTCCATGAATAGCCTGCTAAAAATCTGTGGTATGTGCTGATATAAACATTTTGGTTTTAGTTTGAAGGAAAAGGAAAAGGCAAAATTCTTCTTCCATATTTCCCACAAACAGTTATTGCCATCTGGCTTGTTGTCAAATGATTTCTCCTTCTTTACTAAGTTAGGTCTCTTGTGTATTTTATACATCAACATATTTGCCTTTCCTTTCCTTCTTCAAATATGTTAATGGATGAAGATAGTTGAGGGGGAAATAAATCTAACAGATCCCTATTGCTTCTTTTGTAGGAATTATGTGTGTGTGTGTGTGTGTGTGTGTGTGTGTATGTGTGTGTGTGTGTGTGTATCTATGTTTATGTATGTATGTATGTATGTATGTATGTATGTTAGTATGTATGTATCTGTATCTGTATCGATCTTACAAGGGAAAAGACCCAAACACATATCTATCTATCTATCTATCTATCTATCTATCTATCTATCTATCTATCTATCTATCTATCTATCTATCTATCTATCTATCTATCTATCTATCTATCAATCTATCAAACAGTAATATATAGGAAGTAACCAGAGTATTAGCTGTTTTGCATTCATTTGGCACAAACAGTAGCAGATATGCATTGTCTATCCAGACTAGCATAAACTGTCCTTGCCTTGAACTAAAGTAATGAAAAACTGGAGAGCTGCATGCAGTCTGTATTCTAAATTAAGAAAAGGCTCTGTTCCTGCACAGTAGACTTACTTTCCCTGTAAACTATATCCATATATGCAGAATGAAGGCTATATGAATAATCTTCAAAAAATCAGAATCCATTCCCTAATTTATATATACATTTATATATTCTTCTTATATCTCCAAAGCAAACTTTATCTGACCTTGGAATCAACTTGAAAGCAATAATTTAAGATTTTTCAATTGAAGTTCAGGCTGCTGTTAGATTATAGATTATTTTTAGGGAGGCACATAATTATACAGGGAGTGTAGCAAAGTCTTACTAAATGTTTTTTGTAGTTCCTTAGAATTCTTCAAATGACTTTCTGGAAACAATCTAGAAAAACATCAATATTTTTATTAAAAAATAGTAGTAGGGACAACTATATTGCTATCTAAATTTTGTCAAAGCTGCCAGGAAGATTGTGTCCCTCTAGGCTCTGACTGTCTGTGTAAAAATCCCTTGCTGTCAAAAACGGAGGCTGGGAGGGATGTGGCAAGGGCTTCTTGCAAAGACTCCTAGAGAGAGATTGCAAGCTGAGCAGACCCTTCTACTCTCACCACTCTGCTTTTGGAGCTCCAGGATACAAAGAAACCATGGCAGAGGGGAGACAGCTCACTAGATCTTTGCGAGTAAGTGAGACCCGGCGTGGCAAGATGTGGGGGGAAGCAATTGTGAGGAGCATGAGATACCTCAGTGGGCTGAGAGAATCCTTGAGTGGCCTATTTCATCACTAGGCCCCGCGTGGCCATTCCCACACTGAGAGACTTCGTGCCCTTAGCACATTCGATTAGAAAATGTGTGGGCAAAAGCAGGGAGTTTCCATGTTCATTTTACGTGATTCACTCCAACAAATCCTCGGGTTATAAATGTAACTGGCAGTCTCCATTACATTTGTAACTTGAGGATTACCTGCAGTGTACATCCTTCAAAGCAAAGGAGTTCAACTTCTTGAATATCCTGTTTGTCTTTTCTACCTTTAGGAAACAGAATATTATTGATGAGTTAAAATTACCAGTATTATTAGTACTACTATAATTACTACTATTACTAATATTATTGAGGTTAGCTATAACAACAGAATTTTGCAAGCCTGATTGTGCTGGATCTGCTCATTCTTCTTATACTTCAGTGACTCAGAGATGCATATACCTCAGCTGCTTCTCAAAGTTATGTCATTATTCTGGACTTTTAAAAAAGTGCTTCAGCCTCTTTGGCCTAGGTAATGGTTTCCATATATCTTCATCAAGGTCATATTCCTTACTTTGTACATAATGTCACGCAAACTATGACTGCATCTCAAATAACAGAATCTTGTAACACCAAGGAAGCCATTTACAATAACTCTGGCCAATATATTACTACAGCAGACATCAAGGAGCCAAAGTAGTGCTAGTATCAGAATACAGAAGGTATCACGCTAGGAGGCAAGGAGCATACGGTCTTTCACTGACTGATGTAAAATTGACAATGGTTAGCATTGGAAGGAAGATGCAGACTGAATGGAGAAATTCTCCCCATTCTGATCTCTAAGGGAAAAGAGGAAAGGTTAAAGAGGAAGGTGAATGGGCAGCTCACCTATTATGGGCAGGTGAGAACTCTGGATATTAAGGAAGTAATTTTCAGCTCATTCTTGTGGTCCTTTAGCCACAAAACATCATCCATAATTGATGTGTTCATCACTAACCGTAACTTTTCTGAAAGATACTTTAGAGATAGTGAAGCCTTTTTACTTCCATTATAAAATCATAACCTACTAAACAGGTACTCAAAAACTCTTTGTAAAGTGGAACTTTCTGAATAATACAGTCTCATAGTTTTTGATCTTCACAATCATATAATGTATAGTTGGTTACCATCAGATATGATTTTTGGCCTATCAATCCATTAAAAATTAACAAAAAAATAAAAGACATACGGCATTGGTATAATGAAAAAGACTTATAAACTATAGCATAAAAAGGCAAATGTATCATTAAATCTAATGACATGCTACATACTGTATGGTGTATATCAGAAACCTCAGAGATGTTTTCCGGAGTTTAATTATATGCACTATGTTTCTATAGTAGTAGTAAATTTTTTATTATATATGGTGCAAAAACATACAGGTGCTAAATCTTACCTCCCCAAAGGCACCTCGGCCAATCACCTTCAATATTTCAAAGTCATCTTTATGCAATCGCATCTGCTTCACCTTAGATGTGAAAGGCTTGCCTGAAAAACAGAAAATTATTGATCACTTTACATAATATAACTACTTATTAAAAGTCTTCACAATTTCAGGAATTGTTGGTATAACAAACTACGATAATTTATCCACTGACCATAAATGGATTTGTTGACATGGCCATGATAAAGCATTCTAAATGCATGTTTAAAATATTTTTAATTGTAACATTTTTTTTACTAATGTTTGCAAGAAAAGTATTAACATTTTACAGACCTAAAAGACTTGCTTCAACAATTTCACAATAGCGGAAGTCCTAATAATCACTGGCTAAAAGTTGTATTCCTCCCCAGTGTCATATATAAATAGCAAAAAGGGACTGAGTTAAAATATTCCCTTTTTTATCACTGCTAGTCTGAAAAACAAAAACCTTCCACAGTTCTATTTTAAAGTTAAAAACAAAATAAAATTTGGATTCATTATTCTAGATTTTGATATAATGCCAAAAATAAGGGAATGGTCCACAAGATATCACATAACACAACTTGTTGCGAACTGCAATACAAATTGCTTCAACAGCAAATTTTCTTTTTTAGTCCATCTCATCTGTCATTTTAGAAATGTCATACAACTAAAAAATACAAAAATTCACCCTCTTAAAGTAAAGCGTTAAGATTACTGAAAATTGCCTTTAGATTCTTTTCAAGAGATAAAAAAAATATTAAAAAGCTTCATTCCTGCTGATTACATAGGCAATACCATTCAATCAGAGAGCCAGTCTGGTCTAGTGGTTGAACATCAGGTTGGAAACTAGGAGACTGAGTTCTAATCTCACCTGGGACATGAAAGGCAGCTGGGTGAATTTGAACCAAGCCATTCTCTCTCAAATTCACTTCACAGGGCTGTTGTTGTGGGGAATATGGGTGGAGGAAAGGGTATTAGTAATGCTCATCGCCTTATTTATAAAATAATAAGGGTGGGATAATAAATAAATAAATAAATAAATTATTTTGGCAAGAATATGGAAATGGTTTGCCATTGACAGTTTCTGTCACTGCCATGGTGGCACAGTGGTCAGAATGCAGAACTGCAGGCTAACTCACTTCTCTCTCTAGGAGTTCAATTCTGAACGGCTCAAAGTTGACTCAGACCTCCATCCTTCTGAAGTCAATAAAATGAGGACCTAGATTGTTGGGGGCAATCTCTGTAAACTACTTAGAGAGGGCTTACAATTTGAAAAGGATGAGTGAGAGAGTAGAATCTTAGACCACCCACACAAAAAAGATCTAGGGAGGAAGTTCTCTTCCCCCAAACTAACACCCTCCAACCAGTCAACTGCTGGTCATCGGTATGCTGTTACCAATTATATTTTTTGACCCTGAGTCAGCCAAGTGAGGCTGCCAAGATTCTGTCTTAGTGTCTGGAAGCTTTGTGGGTTTGGATGAGGAGGAACTGTCTACAACTCAATCCCACCAACACTGATTAGCCACCCAAATCTTTGGGTGGATATTTCATCTTGGACCTTGGATTGGGTAGTACTTCCCCCTTCAAGTTTGGCATGCAATTTGCATTTGCTCTTGAAAAGCAAGTGTTAACTGTGGCTGGAAGCCTTTTTCATAATTTGATCTGGTGTACTAGTTGTGCCCTTTTCTAGATTGAGGAACTCTTTAGGCAGTCACTCATATACATCCACAAGTGCAATGCATTCTATATGGGGCTGGCCAGAAGGTTTTAGTGATTCAGAATGCAGTGGCACAAGCAATAATGGGTATGTTTCAATTTGCTTGCTCTACTTCATGAGCTGCACTAGCTGTCAGGTTCCTTCTGTGTGTGATTCAAGCTGCTGGTAGTTACCTATAAAGCCCTACATAGTAGCATAGGGCCAGGCTACTTGATGGATCACCCATTTTCCATAACATCTGCTCTGTCAATTTAATTCTGTGGGGCTAGTGTACTCCAGACTGCTTTGATTAAACAATGTAAAGGTAATCCTCCCCTTACAACCACAGTTGGGTCCGGAATCTTGGCTTTTAAGCAGAGCAGTTGTTAAACAAGATGTCACATGATTGCTTCACTCAATGAAAGCAATCCTGGATCTTGTTGTTAAGTGGTGTGCCAGGGACAGGACTTGGGTCTTTCAAAATAATGGTATTTGTTAGCATTTTCTCCTCCAGAGGAGAAAGCACTAGTGAAGCCAAGTTTTCTAAACCTCCCAGAATTATGGCATTCACTAGCATTTTTACCAGATTTGAGGTCTGTTCCTTCAGTCAGCAGGAGGATTTCCTTTGCCTGAACAGAGGAGAAGGAAAGTCTCTGAGCATGCTGGGAAAAGGAACCCCAAATTTAATATTCCGTCAGCTTGCAACCTTCCCTGCGGCATCCTCATTGACTTTCCACAGAAGCTGGCAGAGAAGATTGCAAATGGTGATCACCTGATTGCAAGGCAATTGGCAATCAATCATAAATGTGAGCAGGTTTCCAAGTGCCCAAAATGCAGTTATGTGACTGAGACTGCAGTGCAATGTTTTATGATAGCTGGAAGTGTTTTAAGGTCCATAAAGCACCAGTTCTGAGGCATTATTGTTATGAACAGTTGTCCCAAAGGTGGAGTTCATGATTAATTCAGCTATATAACAGAAATCATTCTCCATGCCATTCTTCTCACTAACTGATAAACTTTTTGACTAACAATAAGGATATTTGGGGATAATTTCCAGAAAAATCCAATAAACACACTAGTCTTGTTTTGGAAAATCAACAACTTTCATTAGAGCACATTAAAAAGTGTACAAATATGCTTTTAAAGATTCCAGCCCATTTTTTTTCAGATTCAAGAAGTATTCTGAGCTTCAGTGTATATTTATATATTTAATTTCAGGTATATTTTTATGTATTTATACTAACAAAATAAACAATAAAAGAAAGTGTATTTTTTCAAGAGGCAACCAGACTTTCTGGTTTTTCTTTGAAGACATTTCGCTTCTCATCCAAGAAGCTTCTTCACCTCAGAGCTGAAAGAAAAGTCTTCAAAGAAAACATACATAGTGATAGTCATAAATAGTAGCCACCTGTAAAGAGTTAAGTCATGCTACAGAGAGCTTGACACCAGAACATAACAAACTATAATCACCATAGTATTTTATTTCTATCAGTGTTGTCTACTACGATTATTAACTGTAGCTTTCTTAGCATTGTCCAAGAACCTGTTAACAGATCATAACTTCAGATGCCAGAGATTGATCCTGCTATTTTCTGCAAGAGAAGCCTGTTCCCTACTATTGACAACGCTTTAGCAGGAGTCTCCAACCTTGGCAACTTTAAGACTTGTGGACTTCAACTCCCAGAGTTCCTCAGCCAGCTTAGCTGAACTAGCTGAAAATGGATTCCAAAGGCACTTTAAAACTGGCTGTCAAAAATCTATCCAGCAAATGAGAAAAAAATGGTTTGCAGCAAGGGAAAATGGATAACAGAATGTTATTTAAACCAACGCTACATAAATAAATAAAGCCACGATGTCCTTCTCAGTTTTATAGCTACTATTCTGTTTTTACTCCTTAGATACATTTTTCACATATTTTTTAGTCAAACAGAAAGTGCCAGCATCTGTATCTGAGTCTCAAAAGATCTGGTATTTCCTGAAAATACAAAGAATAATCATAGATTCCTATTTTACAATGGTATAGAGACAAAACTGATATTCCTAATTATATACCAAAAAATATGATTATAGCTAGGAGAAATTTGGAAATCACTTTATTTCTAAATTTCAAAAAGGAATTCAAGATTTGTATTTAACATCACAAAAGCCCGAAGGCTATACTCCATGCTTATGTAGCACTAAAAAGACGGTCTGAATAAAAACTAACCCCATAAAATGATATTTAAAAACTAGATAAAGCTAAATATTTCCTCAAAATCCAGATAGTATTAGAGCGAGATGACAACACGTTTTCATATATACTTGTGCCAAACAGTGACGCTACATTTTCAGAATATAGCACCCTCTTTTTCTTACTATCTTCACCAGCGGTGAGATTCAAATTTTTTTACTACTGGTTCAGTGGGCATGGCTTGGTGGGTGTGGCAGGGGAAGGATACTCTAAAATCTCCAGTCAGAGGTGGTATTTGCCGGTTCTCTGAACTACTCAAAATTTCCGCTACCGGTTCTCCAGAACTGGTCAGAACCTGCTGAATACCACCACTGATCTTCACACACATATGCGCACATATGTAAAGTAACATTCAAACTTTGTCATCAAATAAGAAAGAAAGAAATGCAATTTAAAATGCTAAATAATAATCCATTTTAAATTACGTTAAACCAAATTTTATAAACCAAATTTAACTTACAAAATATTTACTTATAAAAGACATTTTGTTTTTACTTTTTTTTCAAACTTTAACTTATTGCTAAAAATGTTTTCAAGCAACCTACAACACAGATTAGAGAGTACATTTTTTAAAATGTGGGGCCATGTGGGTCACACATTGTTCTTTATAACTTCAAGGGATAGGAACTGGCTAGACAAATTGAATCCTCCAAAATACAGCAGTTTTAAGGATATTATATTACAAAACCAGATATTAAAAAAATCATGCTCAAGTCTGAAGGAAGCCAATGTAAAGTTCTATAAGAGACAACAGATAAATTATAAGATTAAATTAAATTATAAGATTCAATTAAGAAAAAAAATCCACTATACTTGGTAAGATAGAAAACAGTGAATTGGCATACTTCCAAAGTCTACTACTTGATGAAATTTTTGCAAAGAATATTGGACTGATTAATTGTTAGTCTGGATTAGCCATGTTGGGCTAGATCCAACAAGGCATTTACATTCATAAGCAAAAATGTACACTTGGGATTACTTAACAAATGAGTCAAGCATTAATATTTAAGAAATCTATCTGTAGTCTTGCTTTATAAATAAAATATGCATGATAATCAGAATCCTTATTTAAATTCTTACCAGTAAAATTTTGACTGACATGCTCAGCTTGAACAATATTGATGAAATGTGTGATAAACAGAACAGGAAACACATTT